GGTCCATTGGTTGTGGACCTGTTCCTGATGTGGGATGGGTTGCAGGGGTTGGGGGTGCGGGTGCGGGTGTAGGTCGCGAGGTGGTGGGTGTAGGCCACGTGTAGGGGGGGGTGGTGGCTGGAGGTGGCCTGGTTGGTGGGAGTGGGAGTCTAAGTGGGGGTGCTCGTGGCTGGGTGGCTTGGAAACGTCACCACTGGTTGTCGAGGAGGGTAGCCTCGCGTTTCCATTCAGCCCAGGTGGTGGGCATAGGGCGGAGATGGTAAATGCTCTTGCGGAGCCGGGCATTGATCACTTGCTTGAAGTGGCCGACCAGCCCTACATCACCCAGTCTTGAGGCAGGCCCTAATATTTCGAACTCCTGGATGACCTTGTCCATGGAGTCACTTCCCTGTCGGATGGCCACCAGCTTCTGCCGGGTGGTGGCTTCCCAATTTGGGTCCTGGAACATGTTGTCGAGTTCCATGTTGAACTCATCCATGGTGAGTGCTGGGGACCCTGCCGTCAGCAGTGAGATCGTGCGTTGCATTGCCCATGCTCCTGCCAGTCCTCCCTTCATGTAGGACAACACAAAGAGAATCTGGGAGAGGGCGGTGGGGAACTCGGACGTGCGGACGTGGAAGTAGATTCCACATTCAGCTTTGAAACGGTCTGTCAGAGACCAGATTCGAGACGAGGGGATGTCTCCGTAACGGAGGGCTTCAGCCTCAGCGACTTCTGCCAAGAGCGCTGTGCCTAGTGACACGTCCGTGCCCTAACTTACTGACTGGCAATTAGAACCTAGGGGGGGTAACTCTAGTTGATTTTTCTACTGGGGCGTAACCTATGTACAAGTGGGATATATATATGGTTACAGCGGAGACGGTTCCGCAATTGGTGGAGCCGAACGGAGCGGAGCTAACGGGGTTTAAACATTAGCCGACTGAATATTACCGACGAGTCGGTTCACGGGGTTAGCGGAAAGGCAGGCGGTAACCCAGAAACGGAAAGGAGGGATAGGCCCGAAGGTGGGCTCTGCAGGGCAGGCGAGTGTATTGCCCAGCGGAGGTGGGGGTGCGCTAGCGGATGTCGGAGCTGTCCGGAAGTCTTTGGGGCTCCGTACTTAGGGAGGCGTAGGTAATAAATTGAAATGAGGGGGTGGTGACCATTGAGGGGCGCCGAGAGGATTGCGGAATACGGGGGCTCCGAGGTTAGTGAGGGAGGAGCGGAGTTGGAACGGAGGGATCGGAGGGACCGGAAGTCGATGGCCAGGGATGGATATGACACGGTCCAGATCCTCGCTGGCTCCCGAGAAGGGCGTGGGGGGGGGCGGCGACCTTAGGTGGCTTGGGTCTGGGAGCAGGTGCAGGGGTGGGTGCAGGGGTGGGCACGGGTGCAGACGCAGGAGCGAGTGGGGGATGGTTAAGGACTTGGTTCTCCACAATAGCCTGCAGTTCCTGGAACCGGGCTAGGAGGTCATCGTACTGTTCTTCTGTCACCATGGCAGGGGAGGCAGGGGAGGTGGGGGAGATGAGGTTGAAGCCTTCTTCTGCTGTCAGGGACTCGTCCGGGGTCGAGGGGGCCCGGGTGTAGCGTCCGGGGCTGAGAGCCTGGCGGGGGGCGGATCAGGCATGCGTACTGACAGGCCTGATGCGGGACAGTGGTCCCTGGCCACTTAGACTGAAGTGGAAAGTTGTTATTATCATTAAAGGAGAAATATTGTACTGCTTACCTGAAGTGGAAAGTTGAGAAGAAGGCTACTTCTTCAGTTCCCACTTCAGGTATGTTTATATACATGCGGCTTAGATCACATGATGGATGCCACGTCACCCTTGCATGCAGCCGTAACCACCCAGGTATCTCCGTGGGAGATCCCAAGGGCATCCGGTGCAGGTGCATGTACTGGGCACAGCAGGAAGTCGTCCGAGGTGCCTGGTCCGGGTGCATGGTGGGTGCGCTGCAGATGGGTCAATGGTACATTGATACAAAGAAAGTTGTCCATGTAGAATAAAGAGAGAAATAAAGAAGAAGTAGGATAATGTCAGGGCACACCCGCCTGACCCGCCTCCACCTGGGCCCACCTCACCCGGTTCCCCTTCTCCCACCCTGCACCCCTCCTTCATACCCCTTCCCCCTCTATCCCTCTCCCACTTCCCCTTCTATTTCCATTTCTATTTCTATTTCTATTTCTACTTCACACGGACGACCTTTCCCTTATATCCATGTATTATTGACCCGCCCGCGACACACACACGACGTGCCTAGCCCCGGACGACCCCGGATGGCTCTAGGGTGCAACCTAGTGCGCGCGCGTGCAGCATACACCCTCGGGATCCCCCACGGGGACACCTGGGTGACTGCGGCTGTATGCGGGGTGACGTGGCGGACCTCATGTGACCCAAGCCGCATGTATATAAACACACCTGGGGTGGGAACCGAAGAAGTAACCTTCTTCTCAACATTCCCACTTCAGGTAAGTAGCTTAGTTCTGTCACGACCGACAAATCCCGGGGCTCCGTCAGCGGCGAACCAATGCCGATAGGTGAATCCGCCGACCCGAAACCCATCCTAACCAGCCCCCAACCCCATGTCTGGCCCCCTGCCTTACTGCGTGAGACTTGGCCAGTAATCAGAACCTAGACCCTGCCGGTATTCCGACCTTACCTCCAGTTCCTGAGCCCTTGGTGCTCCCGGCATTCAGTCATGCCTGCCTTGTCTCCATCCGAACCACACTCATCACTTCCCGCTATGTGGTCACAGCCATGCCCCGCTTCCGTGCATTCCACACCCTCTGCCCACTCCGCACCCTCTGCCCATCTCTGCACCTTCTGGCCACTTCTGGTTGCCCTTGACACCTCTGGTCAGGTCAACACTCCCACTCCCCTCTGTACCTCTGTTGGCCTTCATGCTGTCCTTGTGTGACAGTGCTGGCAGATCAACTTCTGTTCGCGGACTTGTGTCGGCACCGCACCGACCCCGCTTATTTGCGGACTTGTATCGGCACCGCGCGCTGACCTCCGCTTTTCCTCTGGCCATTTGTCACTTGGCAGCTTATCATTCATTCCTTGCCGAGTGCCATTTATTGTTTGCTTCCCTGCCAATATCGGCATTTGATCCCCTCTTTATTGGCACTAGGTTATTGATCTCATTCAGTTATTCATCAATAACCCTTGCCACTTATTGTTTAGTGATCTGTTCCTCCTTTCCAGTTCCCGGGCTCTTGTCCTTATTTAGTTTGACAATCCCCACTTATCTCCGCACCGGACCGCGCCGGACTGACCGGCCTTTCTATATTCCCTCTTGCCTATTTATATACCTTGTAAATACTTTTGGGGACCTCAGTCTGAAATCAACTAGAGTACCCCCCCTGTCTGGTCTGAGTCTCTCCTTCTGCAAAGGGGGCTTCCCCCCTCTGAGTCCGTGCTCGCGGAGTCCGCGCTCCTCCTACAGGTCCGCTCCGCCCACAAGTCTGGTTTGAAGTCCGCTGTAAGTGTCAGTTTGTAAATACGGGATCTCCCCCAAACGTCAAGCTCAGGGCACAGCGCTCCACCTGAGTCGCTGAGGCCGCGATCCCACTCTGCTAACCTTGAACAGCGCTTCCGGATGCGCCGCATATTTCCGCCCGCATATCCGCGCGTGCACGCTCCAACAGACCTCTGCCACAATCTCCGACACCGACAATATCCCAGCCTCTGACAATAATTCCAGATCTCTGACAAGTTCCCCTTTTAATAATAACTCAACATTCCCACTTCAGTCTAAGTGGCCAGGGATCGCCGTCCCGCATCGGGGCTGCCAGTACGCATGCCCAATCCATCCCCCGTGAGGTCCTCAGCACCGGACGCTACGCCCGGACCGCCTCGACCGTGGATGCGACCCTGACAGATAAGGAGGAAGTGAGGAGGGGAGGATGAGGAGGGAGGAAGGGAAAGGGGGAGGAGGCAAGGAAGGGTGGGCAGCGGGGTACCGGGTCAGGTTGGGCCAGGTGGAGCCGGGTCAGGTGGGTGTGCCCTGACAATATGTAGATGAGGGACTTTTTCCCAAGGTGGAAAACATGTTTTAAATTTTGATGCTTGCCAAGCATGACTAGCAGTGAAAAATAATCATTATTATTATTATGATATTGTTTCATTAAGTATCATTGATCTCGGTGAACTCCGGCCGCAGTCGGTTAGTCATGTGGTCAGGTGTCACGCACTAAAATGCATTTGCGGTTCATCATCCGGCAAAATTGTGTCACGCTAATTTTGACAAAGCGGTAGTTGGTCATGTGAGTACAGTATTTGAACTTGGGCCGTCAATGGTGCATGGCAGTCACACCTCAGGCCTTGCAATGACAACCTCATGTTATGGAATGCGGTGATATTTGGACCAAGTAGCCGATGGAACATTCAATTCGACAAGGCCTATCCCAACAAACCCGGCCACCATTGTCAAATATGCTCCATCCGAATGTCCATGCGAACGGAGAGCTTTGCTTCAGAATCGCTGGTCACCTACCCACGATGTCGCTGCGATACTAACAAGCATCCAGATGTTAGTTTCACGATCCCATCTTTCATTAGTTTTGACCCAAACCCTCGTCCAGGTCATCTTATCCTGGTACAACACCATTTGAGAGCGATTGATTACATATTTTCGCATGTACAAACAGTCACCTCTCCTCTTAGGGCTCATGTAAATATATGTGACAAGTTTGGTAGCAATGCGATGTGCTCAGAGTCGACCTCCCCCGAGCCCGCATCAAGCTGAGTCAGACAGATGCTAAGTTGAGAGTTGATGATGGTGCCAAGGCTAGGATGTTGGATCACCAGAACCCCATAGATGGTCCGAAGCAACGCCCCGAAACGACGATGGAGGAAGTAAACGGAGGGGATGAGGCATTTCCTACTTCGATTTTTGCATACAGGATTTTTTTTGCAATCATGACATTTGGCAGACGGAGATCTCCAAACACCAGAATCTTCTCATGCAACACTTTGAGGGCCTCCCCAACAGTTGATCGTACGTTTTTCACCAATCCTTCAGACATATTTTTTTGCTTTGCCATCGACATATTCCATGACAATCATGATGATAGATTGATAGGATGGTTCATGCTCATGGAGATGTGGTGATCCGCAATAGAGAAGTTTCGGTGCATAATTATGATCTGCAAGTGTTTGGTGTGCACTCTCCCCATAGCGGTCAGCAAATTTGACAACAATATCCTGAGGTGGCATTGCCTCAATCCGTGTGCAAAGAGTGATGCAGTTGGGGCCGTTTTCCAAGAAGCCAACATATTTGAAGTTAGCGCGTCCACTGCCAACAGGGTAAGCAGCAATTGAAGGAAAGTAGTGCAAATCATCGGGAAGATTGCCCATGTCTGGACCCTCATGATATGGCCCAAGTTTCTTCAGACTCGCCCGTAGAGCATTGAAGGCTCATGCAACGTGGGTGGTGTGCGGTTCATTGAGAACGGAGTCTGATCCAACCCAGGTGTAGTCGGTCAGTCATTGGACAATCACACCGTCGGTGATGACAGCACCGAGGATCGTGACCCACAGTCCTGTGGTGGCCACGAGGAATGTGGGACAGGCGGTAGCGTTTCAAAGCATTGCATACTAAGGAAAAACAAATGAACAATCTGAGTGCAATGAAATGGATTGGGCACACCCTGGGCTGAGCCCAACAACGGCACACAGACAAGCCTGCTTGGGTCGATGGGTTTGAACCACCATCTCTGAATTCATTTTTATCTTCCTGAAGGAGAATTATGAAGGGTGACCCATGTGTCTCCAATTCCACGATGCCGTCAGGAGTCGTTTTGTCGTAATTCTGAATCGTTTGCATGTTGACTTGAACGATGTTGCAAAGAAGTGGTCCCAACACTTCTCGGCATTTCTTTTCATTTTTATAAATCGCCGTTGCGGCTTTCATGTATTCTACTGTTTCAGGAATAATAATGTCGTCGAGAGGAGCATCTCTCTTCTCCATATCGTCCAAGAAATGTCCAAAAGCAGGGTGAAATAATTGAACCAGAGGTGCAACGCTCGTCCTGGGCTTGTCTGCCTTGTAGCGGCCGTCATAGATGGAGTACATGATCTGGGACTTCGTGTAATTTGACGACTTTGCTGAATCAGCGGGAGCCAATGCAGTCAAGATGTGCGAGAAGACATTTTGAAACCCTGTTGAATGCTATTTATCAAGGATGACAAAAAAGCCACACTTTCACGCAACGCAGGGATCTGGTCTCTCCTCGTGCATCATTAGTACCCAGGCTCTCTGAACAACGGTGAGATTGTCTGTGACGTGGAGAAAGACCGAAATAGACTTGCCATTAGCTGGTGCTTGAACAACGATGTGCAGGTGATCCCCTTCCACATGAGGGAACACTTGCGAGAGCGGTAGGAGCGACTTCAATGGTGTGAGATCGATGTCTTTGAGACTTCCGTGGGAGTCCTCATCTACACGTCGGCAGACCTGGCTGAGGATAAGCTCTGAGGCAATTGAGGCGAGGGGACTGTTCCTCCTTGATCAAGCATTTGAGGGTGCTGACGTTTTTGGTCTTCAGAATCTTGACCGTGAAGAATGGATTCGGCTCCCCATCAACTCGGAGAACGACACAGTTGAGCGAGAGAAGTTGCACAGCTTCGGAAGCTCAGTTCACTTTTGAAGTGGAATATAGGAATTGACACAAAGTCAGGTGTCTACTTATCGGGATGAGTGTTGATGCACCGGGCAACTTGACAAGCAGTGCCTCTCCAGCTGAGATGTTCAAGCCTGCTATTTCCTGCCTCGGAAGGAGTTCTTTAACCCCCATATTAGAGAATGCCTTGCTGACTAGCTCCTCAAGCACTTCATGACCATTATCGACGAAATTAGCTGGTGAGTTTGTAAATCTCCACACTTCAAGCTCATATGCATCAATGTCACCAAGGACACGAGGTGCCTTGGCCTTGACCATCTTCGCCAAGTCATCGACATCAGCGTCGGAAGATACTTCGACCTTGAATGACTGGCCAGTAGGCCTGTTTTTGTGATCAACGAGGAGGCACCAGACTTCCATGACAGTGAACCACACACAATAAACTCGGCCAACTCTGTGACAATTCCATACAGCTGAGCAAATCGATAGGTCAAATCGTGAGCAGTCTGACAGGTCCCAGGTGGTGACCTTCTTCACTCTAACAGGCTACAGCAGCCGCTAAGTACTATTGGGGTGCTGCACAATGGACTTAGGCTACCAAGTAGCCGATGGAACATTCAAGCTGCTTAGGTTCGACGAGTCCTATCCCAACAAACCCGCCACCGTTGCCAAATATGCTCCACCCGAAGGTTTATGCGAACGGAGAGCTTGCTTCAGAATTGCTGGTCACCTACCCACGATGTCGCTGCGATACTAACGAGCATCCAACTGTTTGTTTCACGATCCCATCGGTATGGGTTTCATTGGTTTTGACCCAAACCCTTGTCCAGGACATCTTATCCTGCACAACACCATTTGAGAGTGATTGATTATGCATGTACAAACAGTCAGCTCTCCTTCTCTCCCTTTAGGGTTCATGTAAATATATGTGACAAGTTTGGTAGCAATGGGATGTGCTCAGAGTCGACCTCCCCCAAACCCGTCTGAGTCAGACAGATGCTAAGTTAAGGGTGCCAAGGCTAGGATGTTGGATCACCAGAACCCCATAAATGGTCCGAAGCAACGCCCCGAAATGACGACGGAGGATTTATGAAAATTTTTAAGAAAATATAAAAAATATAAAAAAGAGGGCCCCAGCCCCCAGACTCCAATGGGCCGCACAGCAGCCCCCCACAGTCCAGCCCACAAGGCCCTGACAGTGGACTCGGGGTGGTGGCTCACCCGGTGGATGCAGCAGGCCACGGAGATTGGGAGGGGAAGCGGGAATGGGTCCGTGCGTGGCTGGATGGGCGCCAGACTCACCCATTTCGATGGTGGACGTGACCGAGGGGGGGCCGGGATGCGTCTGTCGTGGTACTGGACACAGTGGAGTCGATAGACGCGCCAGATTTGGCGTGGGAGGGTGTGGGGAGGGTGAGGGTGACGACGACGACGACGACAACAGCGCGGTTTCAGGGCGCGCTGAAGTCGAAGGGAGAGGTGGGGAGGGGGCCAGACGCGGTTGGGGGGGGGGTGGACGGCACGTAATCTGGCGCGAATTCCATCGGATTGGGGGTGGAATGGCTGGGCGCTGTTGGATCGGGCGCAAGTGCCATGGAATCGACGGTGGGACGGCCGGACACGGTCGTGGTGGGGTCGTTGGACGACGCAGAGAGGTGGTGGGAGAGGGGGGTCAGGCTACCGGGTGCGAATGCCATGGAATCGGTGGTGGGATGGCCAGACGCGTCGACGTTGGGGGCGGCGTTGGCACTGGCGAACGCGTCAATTCAAGAACAGACTGCGCCTGCAAAAGCGGGCGCGTTGTTTCTTGGGGACGACGCAGTGGAGTGGTGGGAGGTGGGGTCGGTTGGGCAAAAACCGTTCGTGTCAATCCAGGAACAGATTGCGTCGCAGGGGGCTGACGCGTCATTTCCTGGTGTCGACGCAACGCTGGAGGGAGGAGAGCCGGGCTGGGAGGGTGTACTGGGCTGGGCTGGGTCATTTGGGTTCGGATCGGGTGGGGGGAATGGCCCAGCGGCGCAGCGAGTGCCTTCTGTGTGCGTTCCAGATGTAAAAGAAAATCAGTAAATTTTGTTTTTAAAATATTCCAAGCCGCAGTGAAAGTACGCAGCTCAGAGCCCTCTTCCAAGGCCCACCAAATGTCCCCCAGTGGGTCCACCTCGAACTTCGCTGACATAACTCCAAACTCGGATGTGAGTCGTCGTTGCCAATTGAGTACGGCACTTATTAGTGATGCGACAGCCGATGGACTGCCTTGAAAGGTCGTGGAAAAACTTGACCCCCACTGTATCTGGGGTCAATTTCCTCCAATCCGCCAGGAGGGTCTAAAGTGAAGCTGCCGGCTGTGGGCATGACCCGGCTGACAAGGTGGATTTATAGTGGCTCCAAAAGCATCCAATCCCCTCCCACCTCTGATGCGGAGCGGTTTAACACTCGAAGCAAGCTCTTGCCATAGCCATGTCAGATTGACATGGCTGGAGGGCTGCTACAGTGCTAATCCTCTGAATCATGAGGGGGAGTCAAGGGGGCAGCCTGCTGCATCCAGGACAAGGGAATCCTCTTTTTATAGGCAAGTCAGACAGAGAATCGTGCAGCTTTTCCCAGGGTTCTCCCTTGCCCATTGTGACAGCGGTTCTGCACATGAAAAATGGTCATTGAGGGCCCTAACCAGAGCAGGGGGCATGTGGTATTTGTGTTGTTTGAGAGTCACCGGGAATTTCATGTCAAAATTCGGAATTTTGTTCCTCCGCTTCTCCGCTGAACCCCTGGAAATTCATACACAATAAGTCAGTGGCAGGGTTATGTCCACTGATCCCTTTATCCAATCTGTGCCACCCTAGATGTCTTGCCACAGGAAGGAGCGGAAGTGTACTCTGTTCCAATTGGTACTAGTGTTGTATTCCACTGGTCGCTCCGTCATATGCCTACGGCACGCACGCGGAGTTAAAAATGAAATACCACCACCACGACTTGAAGCAAGGGAGCAAATAAATCGTCTTTCAATTTATCCTTCAATAGGACATGCATTTCAAGCGATTACAGTACAACTTACATACAAGTTCCATGTCTTCCCTCCCAAACTGTTCGTAGCAATCACCCAGAGGCATCAGTCCATGCCTATATATATATTTTACTTTCCCTCGTACAGTAGCAGCGCACAATTGGATGGTTTTAGTGGCCCTCGATGTTAGCTGCCACCGGTGTCTCCTGCATGTCTGCCCGCTCCACTGACCTTGAGGGTCCGATTCGCCACTTCCATATATGCCGGCTTACCCTGTGACCTTGACCCGCACTTCCAAAAACGAGTCTCCAGTCGGCAAGTTCCCTCACGTAACGCGTTCCACAATCCCAAAAGATGATGTAATCCTGCCCGAAAGGTAGAAGGCGAACCGGCATGGTGGCAGCTATACTAGATGAAGATTCCGCCTTACCTGGGCACTAGGAGACTTATCCTCCAGTGCTCCTCTAAAGATCATCCAGGTCCGCATTGGTTGAAACGCAATTTACATCCAGGCCCTCCTTTGTAGTTATGAGGGCCCCTTCCCTTGTTCAATGGACCCGCTCTTTTTGTGTCTTATTAATAACGCACCCTTACATGTAGATAAGTTTCAACCTGACTATTCAGCAGTTTTCAACCCGGGAATGATGTATTTGGACCGAGGCATCGCAACAATTAACGCAACGTCGCGATGATCGTTCGCTGACATGTCCCATTCGAAGCGATATTTTCTCCTTAGCTTAATGAGTGAACAAATGCTCCATCGATCCTGACTCCGGCGGTGTTCAGAACATCTCTGCAACATACTGAGCGAGATATCCCCCACTCAATGAGTGTACCTCAAGAAGAACAGAATGAGGGGAGCACCACCAATACCGCCAAAGAGATTCAGAAAGCTCCCATTCGTGGTGGATCAAGGCCCAGCTCGAGTTCGGCCAGTTAATCTCGTTTGCTGACTGGAACTTTGAAATCCTATCGGTGTGACATCCCTCTTTTGTTTTGCCTCTCTGGTGATAACACGACATCAGGGCGGAAGAAATGGAAGAGCCCATCCGTGTCGACTTGGAGAGTGCCCAGAAATGCAAGGCGGTTGACATGATCGACTTTTTGCTCGCGTTCTGCCTGTCGGGCCCGTTCAATGGCAGGAGACGACACAGAGCTTGGATTACTGTTCTGGGGATTTACAGCAAGATCTGAGTCTCAGAGTGTGAGTGGGCAGGTGGTAATATGTGCGTTGTGTAATGCACCGTTAACAGTGGTGACGAGGCGGCTCGTAATGGTTATGCTTGTGAGGGTCAGGGTGGGAGACCGGCCTTTGCAGCGCGTTGCCTGGACGAAGAAAACGACCACGAGACGCAGCGGTGCAAGGGCGCAGCCTCCGGCCCTCTTGAGTTGGGTACCTCTACGAAATGGCGCTAGCATGGGGCGTCTCCACACAGACGATGATTCCGGTGGCTTGATTGGCTAAAGAGAGTGCTCTAACCACGACACACCAGCGACACACTAAGCGTCTTCAGTTAGCTGCGAGGAGAGGCCCTTCAGGGACATCTGTAGGGCAACAAGGTATGTTGAGAGATGTGAGCAATGCATGCAGTGTTTGATGAGAGCACCCTTAACGGCTAGAGGACTGCTGGAATCGCAACCATAACCGGCATGGACGAATGAGCTTGTGTGTGAAGGTCTTGTGGAAAGGAAACATCAGATGCGATTTCACAAACGTGAGCGACAGATTTTGTGCCTACCGGATAGGTTGAACGATGTGAAGATGCAAGCCTCGGATTTAGCCGAATGCCCGCAGATTCATGTAGTGTTTGGACTTGCCAATAACCCATGTCTGTCAATCTCAACTGCTGGGTACTTGGCGATGGGACTGGCCAAGTGTTCTCGGTCAAAATTGCAAGTACAGAGTCTGTCATTGCCCTCAAGGAAGCAATCAAAGACAAGAAGAAGGTCGCTCTCCAACACATTGACGCAGATGCCCTCACACTCTGGAAGGTTTCCATCCCAGTCGACGATGGCTTCGAGGAGAAAGTTAAACTTCAAAACGAACTATTGCCTGTGAAGAGATTGTCCCACCTTTTCCCGAACCTGACGATCAAGACCTACACATCGTTGTTCAATTCCCGCATGATGGTGAGTGATAGTCATGGAGCTATCTCTGTCTGTGACGTATTTTCTCATTCAAGCTCGTCTTTAGTGCCACAATTAGATCTTCCTATTCTCGAACTGTACTGTCTCATTTGTGGCGGTGACGCCAACAATATCTTTCCGGTCAAAATTGCGAGTACAGAGTCTGTCGGTACCTTCAAGAAAGCCATCAAGGAGGAGAAGAAGGTTAATCTCGAACACGTTGACGCAGACTCCCTCACACTCTGGAGGGTTTGCATTCCAGTCGATTATAATTTCGAGAATGCAAAAGGGATCGATCTTAAGAATGAGGAAATGCTATCACCTGTCCATTGATTGTTCTCCATTTTCCCCGATCCACTGCCCCAACTTCATCTACACATTATTATCAAGCTTCCGCCTGGCAAGCCTATATCATCCACTAGTCAACGTCCCCTATTATATAAAGGTGACTGAGTCGCCGAAGCCCACAAGGCATGGGGTTCATCTGTTTCACAAGAGGCCCCTTCCTCAGGAGGCCTACCTAAAAAGTTTGTTGCCATTCAGAAAAAGGAAAAACCTGCGTTTGCGTTAATCGCCCCCCAACCGCCGCTGCCACGATACCCATCTCACTATCATCCCATATTCAGCCAGTTCCAAGATGACTGTAAAACTTATACACCCACCAAGAAAGACCATGATTTCGCTTTAAAGTTCTCCCATTCTATGTCAAATATTTACGCCAACGAAGGGGACAGGGCTGACCAAGCTCGAAAAGATTTCGCAAGCTATGGTCTCGACTTTTTGCCCACTGGAATTGGCAAGTATTGTACTGATGGAGATCTTTGCTACAAGGGCTTTTGCTTTGCACTCATCGAGGCCAAGGCAGAGCTTTCCACCAGCGGTGCTGAGCCTCTTTTCGAGGCTGCCTGGTATTATAGTGCCTTCATAAGGAACCACTTTGACGAAACCTGTTCGCGTCTCCCTTGCTTTATCCTCTCCTCTACCTTGCTGGTGAGCTTCCACATTTCTTCTCCTGGATACACCCTAAATTCATGCCCTAGGTGCCCACATTGGCTTTGCCGGTGCCGTCTTGACCATTCACCCTCATCTTGAGGTCCTAGCCCCCATGTTGCCGCTCTTCTATCATGCATCCAACGTTGATATGCGCATGCAAGCTGCCCATTTTTTTGGTGCAACAAAAAATGCGATTCTCGCATTGAATAGCTACTACGAATCCGAACTTCCACATATAACCTCTAACCCAATCATTACGTTTCCGTATCCTACTGACTTCGATTCCCCGTGCAGTACCACAAAGTACCCATTTGAATACTCATCGCAGCTTGACGAGAACAGACTCCTATTTTCCGGCACTGTCGGTGATGAGAAAATATTCATCAAGTTCACCCACCGATGCTCTGAGGATGCACTTCTCGCATGCTTCTCGCTTGGTTGTGCACCTGCTTTGAAGAGGTGTCAGCCCATTGCGGGTGGATGGTATATGGTTGTCATGGCTTTAATCGAGGATGATTATCATGAATTGCGGCATTCAGAGATGAAAGTCTTGTTCAAAGATGAAATCGAAGAGAAGGTGCAGGCGCTCCGCCAACAAGCATTTGTGCATGGTGATATCCGAACCACCAACGTCATGGTGCGGAAAGACGGTAAGCCTGGAATTCTACTAGTCGACTTTGACTGGGCAGGTAAAATTGAGGAAGTGCGATATCCAATGAATGTGAATAATGTTGATATCAAGCGACCTACAGGAGCAGTTGATGGCGAGCTTATTAAGCCTGACCATGATATTGATATGATAAAGTATATGTTTCAATGAATTTATTAATTGATAACACCCCACCTGGATCACACCCTCTTATTATACGCATCGACTCCGGTTTTGAACTCTGAAAAGAGGCCCTCCACTTTAGATGGTTGCGCAGATACCGTTGATCCGTTGTCCATCGCTTGACAATAGGTGACTGGATCTCCACCACATTGCAAATACAAAATAGTCTAGTCATGGGTATCTCTGGAAGCCCGAAGACACCATGAGGCACAAGTTGAAGGCATTGAGAGAGAAGCTAAAGGAAGTGGGAACCCATTGGATGTGTTGCCACGCCTCGGAGCGCTCCCACCTCCGTGACATGATCAATTAGAATGTATTTATAGGGCATTTTGGAACCTGGGTCCATCATTTTCAAAATAAAGTATCGGGGTTAACCCATTTTGTGCTTCTTGAGTCCATATTTCATTGGGATTTGGTGTTATAATCGTGGCATTGCAGCCGGACATTCTGAGTGCGATATCACAATGTCATTAGATATCGCACTCAGCTCTACACATCATACTTATATACATTTCTGTGGCGCAAATGAACAAAGGCTAAAGCGTTAGGACAATGAAACTTCCCATAAAAGGGAACAATAACCATAAGGGAATCGGAATGCCACTTCAACATTTGGTGTTATGGATACAGAGTCTCCAATGACCATATCCGTTGCATAGTCAAAGACCTCCCCTTTCCATCACTCTCTCTCTCTTTCGCTCTCTATCCCGATACCCTACTACCCTAACCTGTTCTACTCCATCCCCCCCCCTCGTGCAAAGCTTTTCCCATTGGGGTTTTGGTGCTGGCCAAGGTTGTTTGTATTTCGCGGGATTTCCCACGACCTTTCCATTTGTAGATAGTCATGCGTCATGTACGGAAACTGCCAAAGGTGGTTCCTGTGAACTACTACACTCTATAACTGTCTTGTGCACTGTCCCTTGTAACAACCCCTCTTTTGTGACTCAGCTGAACCTTTGTGCTTGTACAACCCTCAACATGTCCTATATGCCTGGTTACATCGAGTCTTCTGACAGTTCCCACTGTGAGAACTCAAAGTCGTGAGTTGAAGACTCTCGACTTGTGTTTCATCCCATGGAACCTGTATCCTACAGAACATCATCACTCAGCTCTCCCTCCAGCGCCTGACAGATGACACCATACTATGATCTTAGTGTCAGGGCACACCCCACCTGACCAGCGCTGCACCAGCACTGCACTGCCCCACTCCGCTCCCCCTGCTACCACTCTTTGTTCCTCCTCTCCCTTTTTCTTCTTTGTCTTTATTTCTATTCCATGGTCGACTTCCCTTTTCTCTATGTATCATCACACACCTAATACTGCTCCCCTGATCGTCACACCCACCGTGTACATTCCTGCCTACAGAGCGGCACACCTTCAGGATCTCCCATGGAGACACCCAGAGAGGTCCGGCTGTGTGCAGAGATGACATGGCTCCCCCCACATGTCAGGGCCCGGCCCTTGTTCCACAACAGGCCCAGGGGGATCCTCCTAGTCGCTGGGGTATCTAGTCCCAGTCCAAGATCTTCAAACTCACTGAGGGGGCTAGCCCCAGCCTTCACAGGAAATGAGTTGAGAAGAAGGGTAACCTTCTCAACCTCCTGTGAAGCCGCTACAAATGGGAGTCAGGAACTATACAGTTTTCGGCTCTTTGCCGACTTTCCATAATTGGCACCCCCCCATGGGAAGATTCTGGGCAAGCTGCTCGCCCAGAAAGTTCCCATGGTCATGGCTGTGATGGTTTCTGGGCAAGTAACTTGCCCAGAAAGTTCCCACGGGTCTGCATGCATGCGGGATTGTGGAACAATGAAGGGAAAAATAGGAGAAAATGGGGGAAGGGTACCTGAGGGTGTGTGGGGTCAGGGGCTGTGCCCTGACACCACGTGACCCTGACTGTATGTATATAATAGCACCTGGGGTGGGAACAGAAGAAGCAGCCTTCTTCTCAACTTCCCACTTCAGACTGAGTGGTTGGGGATGCTCCCCTGCGACAGGATCACCGCTACGCACAGCCGACATCTGTCCCATTGGGTCCCTCATGCCAGGACTTCGCCGCTTTCGGAGCTGTCCCTGACACTTAGGGATCGTGAATACTCTGAGGCTCATACTCCTGTGATGCTGGTATGCTCGCTACATGAGCGCCAAGTAGCCACCCATCCATCGTCTGGTCCTTCCTCAGTCATCATACCTCCTTGCCAATGGTACATTCCCAAAGGGAATGCCAAGTCACCAAAGGCCCCACTAGTCATTCCTTGCTGTACACTCATGTTAACAACCCACTACCAGTACGTTTGCACTGCGAACACCAAGTAACCAATAGCAACAATACGGGATCTTCACTCATCTTATGAGTCATGACTGCGCACACGGTATGCTCCACTGAGGAGCCGACGCTCCCCTCCATATCTTGCTGGCCATCATGCTGTCCTTTTATGACAGCACTGACAGACCACCCTCTGTTGTGGACTCATCAGCACCATGCTGATTCCCGCATCCCTTTGCAGACTTGTATCGGTGCCGTGTGCTGACCTCCACTTTTCCTCTGGCCATTTGTCACTTGGCAGCTTATCATTCATTCCTTGCTGAGTGCCATTTATTGTTTGCTTCCCTGCCAATATCGGCATTTGATCCCCTCTTTATTGGCACTAGGTTATTGATCTCATTCAGTTATTCATCAATAACCCTTGCCACTTATTGTTTATTGATCTGTTCCTCGTTTCCAGTTCCCGGGCTCTTGTCCTTATTTAGTTTGACAATCCCCGCTTATCTCCGTGCGGACCATGCCGGACTGACTGGCCTTTCTATATTCCCTCTTGCCTATTTATATACCTTGTAAATACTGTTGGGGACCTCAGTCTGAAATCAACTAGAGTACCCCCCCTGTCTGGTCTGAGTCTCTCCTTCTGCAAAGGGGGCTTCCCCCCTCTGAGTCCATGCTGCAGAGTCCGCGCTCCTCCTACAGGTCCACTCCGCCCGCAAGTCTTGTTACCTGACCAGAGGTGTCAAGGACAACCAGAAATGGACAGAGGTTGCGGAAGGTGCAGAAGCGGTGCATGGTCGATAGAACAGACATCGGGTTGGGGCTGGTACGGATGGGTTCGGGTCAGAGGAATCGCCTGTCGGCATTGATTCGCCGCTGACAGAGCCCCGGGATTTGTCAGTCATGACAATTATGTATATAGGTCATGTACCGTAGTTGATGGCACTTCAGTGCAAAATCAATGACTAGATCCCCCCAGAGTTTGTGCCCCCCCATTCTGAAGTTAAGGACCCAACAGCAAGCATAATCGAACATTGGCACAGTGCTCCCCTCTGAGTCGCTGAGGCCACAGTCCCTCCACTTGTCCTCTACCTCTGGCCTCCCTTCCAGGGAAAGGTCCAGGACATGCTCGTTCCCTCTTCTGTGTTCTTGACAGGGGGCAGCAGAGTGGGGTCAGGCAGGGTGTGCCCTGACACTAACTGGCCAAATAGAAAGAAGCAGTAGTCCAAATAAGGGTGAGGCAGAAATGCGAAGTATACAATAAAGTGGCGAAGGAGCTGGGGTAGGTCCATGAAGCTTGGAGGTAGTGGAGCTTACAGAGGTGGGATTGAAAGTCTGAGGAATATTGGCAATGGTGTTTACCTGAAATGAGGTCACCAATGCAATGGACTTAAGCTGGGGTGGTGTCAAAGTCCGAGGTCAGGACCAGGACAGGATCTTGGAGTGGAGGTATGATCGGTGTCCAAGTTCGGGATATGGGATGGGGATGGGAGGTCGTACTTTGGCAGAGATTAGTCAGGAGGAGTGGAAGGTGGGGTCAGATCTGAAGGTGGGGATTGGAGCAGATGGGAATAGGGCAGGACTCTGGAGGTAGTGGAAAGGGGTCCAGGTGTTAGAACGGGGCGAGAGCAGATGATTCCAGAGTGGAACCGGAGACTTAGCAAGGAGGGACCTTGGCCTCAGTGACTCAAGGGAGCCCTGTGTCAGGGCGTGAGAAAAGCGTTACCGTGACTCGCTGTTGGCGACCGTTAAGGTCCGCTACTTCGGCGTAACAGCCCGTCAAGGGTGGGGATGACAATCGCGGTGGAAAGGGGTTTCGGCTTCAACGACTCGTTCGTGAGCGTTGCGCCTCGTACTTGACGTGGCCCTGATATTTCAGGAGGCAAGAGGTGCGACTGGGTCAGACAGAGAGTGCAGGGGGTAACCCTAGTTGATTTTCGAACTAAAGTACGAGGTAGTGTACAACCAGTATTTAAGTATAACGGAATGAATAGAAATAAGTCGCCAGATCTCATGGAGATTGCGGGCGGGGTTAAGAAGGGACGAAAACAAACAAAGAGTGTGGGAGAAGGACGGCCGTGCACGGCCATCAAGAAAAACAAGCGTGATAAGGGAAGACTCGTAGGCCCATGACGGGCCATGGAAACAGGTAGCGGTGACGGGGAAGGGTGACGGGCTTGTTCAGGCGGCGTCGGGCAGGCAGCGGAGTTGACGGGGTCGAAGTGGGGGAGGGAGAAGGTGTGGGGAGTGATCACCTGACCGTGGGAATTGCTGGGTCGTGACAGTATCCCCCCCTTGGGACTGAACCCTTGAAGTCCCATGCGCACGTGAGAAACCTGCGGCCTATGCCGGGTTTGATTCTGATGGCGATCTGAACAAAAGGACTTAACTTTGCTATCGCAACCCAAGATGCCCCCTAAGGTCCACGCAATGGACCTCTTGTCCTGGAAAATTGAAGACCTCCAGTACGACTCTGGCAACGAGCAGGAGCTCATGCTCCAGAAACGCCAGGAACACCACAGACGGTGCCGAGTTGAGGCTGATCACGTGGAGGAATTGCATCGTGCAGAAGAGGCTCACCGCAAGGCAGAGCGACTAGCGGCAGCTCGTCTCGCCGCTGAAGAAGAGGAGAAGAAGAAAAGGAAAACGGCTGAGTTGGTGACAGGGAAGGTGAGTAGTCCTGGTCAACTGATCAGGGGCGCGGGTGCTACTGATCATCCTGATCGTCTCGATCACAGCGTCCTGCGGCCAGTAATCAACCATCTACA